TTTTATTAATTACTATTATTATTTTTAATTTGACCAGAGAGAGACAGGGGGTGGGGGGGTAAGTAAGAAAGGAAGCCACCAGGTATGGAATTTGAACCATGGTCGGCCATGTGGGAGTCTAGTGCCTTGACCACCACACCACCTCCTGGTCCCAATTTAAAGTAACTTTTAAATATCAAAGTCCCTTTTCCCACATAGGCTCTGGGGACATTGAACTGCTTTTAACTTCTAGAACATTGCATTTCTTTGTGCATGTTGTTCTTTTGCATATAATTTTCCCCGTAACTTGCTGGATTTGGAAATGTCTATAATCTTTCTTTACTTAAAGTTTCCCTCCTCTGTGAAGTATTCCCTGCTTATCCTATGGCATGTCATATATACTCACATTATAGCAACTATTTTATTACACTCTAAATTTACTTTGCATGTGTTTTTCCTGTCCATGCCTTAGGCTACTGGAAAGCACAGAGATGACCTTTTCAATAAAATTGCCCAGATGTATAAATAAATAAAGGAAGAAACCAATGAACGGATAAATTGCATGCAATAGATGTTTAGTTTTTAAATGCCAGGGGATTATTGCCATTTGTTCATTCATGAATTCAAAATATATATTGAAGGCCTCCTGCATCAGGCACCGTGCCAGCTCCTGGAGACAGAGTGGTGCATTGGCCACACATGTTCTCCCCTCTTGGAAACTGCAGTCTTACAGGAAACTGAGGTATAGGGGAGTGCAATGGGGACAATGAAGAGAGAGCCCTTGGCTGTTAGGGACATGCCAATAACTAGCCTAGTCTAGTTGAAGTTAGGGGAGGAGGTCTCCCCATAGAAGAGATGTGTTATTGGAGGTAAGGGTGTTGGGAAAACTCAAGAAAGGGAGGAGGTATCCCAAGGCAAGGGGCAAGACAAATCTGGGGCTTTAGATACAGAGAAAAAAATACGGTCTTCTTGGAAGATGATGAGTGAGGGAAAAAGTGATTGATGGAGAGGTACCCAGAGGCTGACTCATGGCCAGCCTGAAAAATTACATCACAGACAGTATGGAATGTGGGGTGAAGAGAAGAGTATAGAGAAAGATTGCAAGAGAACAAATAGCGAGGCAGGACATTAGTGGAAACAGATATGGCTTATTACCTGTTGATGATGACACGCATATTATTCTCAACTGGATTGGTCTGAGAAGTATTTCATGATGGGTAAAGTCTTTTTACAAGCAAAATGAGAAATAGTGATTGACTTTAAAAAATAATTGGAATAATAATAATAATGATTGGGAAAAACAATGAAAAGATTGAATGATGAAGTGGGGAGACTAATGTCTCTGTATTGACTGACATGCATGGCAATCCCTTTTGAAAAAAAGCAATGTAATACACTGTAAAGTTATATGCAATCCAATGTAATATAAACAAGACTATGATGATAATAATAAAAAAATTAAAAATTAAAAAATAAATTAAAACATTACATCACAATTTTTACCATTTGATCCTGAGAAAAATAGAAATACAACTGCAGTATGAAGCATGGCATGGAAGAAGGAAAAGAAGAGGCTTTTATAACCATCTAGGAGAGAGAAGATCATTTGAGTTAGATTGAAGATAATTACTTGGACTAAAGGAATGACACAGAAGTCTTTTAAAGACTTGGAATCTGTAGCCAGCCTAGGGTGTGGTGGTTAAAGCAGCGGGGTCCCACATGGCTGACTTTCCAATTCAGTAACAAATCCTGGAATAGTGGTTTGCAAAAACCCTTAAAGGAGGGTGAGATGGGAGAGAAGGGGCTGCATCACAATCATTCCCCATGAGGGTGCTTTCTCACTTTCCTTCTCAATCTCTCTTTCTCTGTCTGTCTCCAGAGAGTGCACACACCCTCAGGCAAATTAAAAGAGAGAGAGAGAGGCTATTAATGGTTAGTTGTGGACATTAAGGTGATGAAGAGTCCAAGACAACTTCCATGTTTTTCTTTTTTTTAATTGCCTGAGGGTATGTGTGGTTGCCAGAGAAAGAGACAGACTGAGAGAGACAAAGACAGAAAACATCCTTCAGATGGGATGTGGTCACCATAATCCTTTCCTTTCATTTCTTCTTCATATTAGAATTTTGGTCATCTGTAAACAGGCACCCAGAATGTTTTTCAAGCCACCAGGGTCAGAACTCCAACTGGAGTTGGCCATGTTGGATTTGGCTCCTAATGCAAAGGGCTTACCCATTTTGCTACAAAGCTAGACCCTCCTAGTATTAAGCATAAAACACCCAGTAGCTAGGTCATGGAATGACATAAATGTTTTAAAATAAATTAATAGCTGGTTCTTACAGATTTAGACGTAATATTCTTGTATATGACAGCATTTTAAAGCTTCTATTATGTATTATTATTACTTTTATTATGTTATTACAAAAAAATTGAAACATTAAGTACAATTGTATGAGGGAGTTAAACAAATGACTTTAAATATTCATTCTAGGACAAAATCATCATTCCTTATTTCTAAATCATTAATGTAGTGATTCCTTTCTCACTTTAATTTTTTTTTTTCATGTTTAGAAGAATTGGAGGAGCCAGCAAGTGGTATAGTGGTTAACGCGCTGGACTCCCACATGGCAGATGTGGTCTGAGTCCTGGACCTGGTGGCTTGCTCTCCCACTTCTTTCTCTCTCTCTCTCTCTCTCCCTCTCTCTCTCAGAAGCCTATGTGCCCTATAGCAAATTAAAAAGTAGTAGTTAAATAATTTTCTATAAATTGGAGGAAGACAGCTATATTCCTGATTATCGCTGTGTGTATGTGTATGTGTGTGTGTATATTTGAGTGTGTGTATTTGTATGTGTGTATGTGTATGAGAGAGAGAATTTCTAATTCCTAGGAGAGAATCAGTTAAGACACTGGGATCAGCAGATGGTGTCATTGTTACATTGCTGGACTCCCACATAGTCAACCATGGTTCAAGTCCCAGATCTGACAGCTTAAAACTCATGGCAGGCGTGTGTGCTTGTGTGTCCAAAATCTCAAGAGGAGAATGGAGGAGAAAGGATTGCAGCATGGCTATCCCCTGGGAGAAGATTTCTCACCTTCTCTCTGTGTCTCCAGTGAGCACATGCACCCTATAGCAAAAATCTAAAAATAAAAAAAATAAAAAAACACTGGGGTACTTACAATGCCCACTTCTGTTTTGTTTTATTTTGTTTTAAGAGGGGTTTTTGTTATAGGGCACGTGTGCTCAACAGAAAGACAGAGAGAGACAGAGAGACAGAAAATGAGAAATCACCCTCGGGGGAAATGGCCAGCCTGCAATCCCTTCTCCTCCATTCTCCTCTCAGTATCGTAGGCACTCACGCACATGCGCCCAGTGTGTCAATGATAGGTTCTTCACCAATTAATATCTGTTTTGTCGTTCACAAGTTGCTATAAAAACATTTTCTTGTATTGGATTGGAGGGAAAGTCATGACAGATTTTGCATAGAAAAACATAGAAAATACGCCATGACTTTCCTGACAACCTATTTTGGGATGCTTCATTAAATTATAATTGAGTAAAAATAGATATTTCAATGAATATTTTTTTAAAAAATTGATATTTTTCCTAGGATATACAAAATATTTTAATTGAGAAAATTTCAAAAAGTCACACATCAATTACCAACATAATGTTCTGAAATATTTCTCATGCAAATAAAATCTTTAAAAGAGGAAAAAAATCCTTCTTTAAAATCTAACAAACTAATTCATTTTTTCCCTGCCTTTACCCAGGGGGATTTTAAGAGACATATTAGAAAATGCAAAATATGACAGACAGTATATCAAAAAATAAAAGTAGGAATGAAAAGACAAACAAAGGTTGAGAAAAATAAAAAAAATACAAAATACGTTTTTTTAAATGTTAAGAGTATACTCTTATAACTAGTTTATATACTTTACAAATACTTTTTTAAATGGCAGTTACACAGTTAATAATATCCATGTGACAAAGTTGAACCAATTGCCATTAATTAGACTGGAATTGCTTCAGAGAATACTGCCAAAAAAGAATGATAAGGTCATAAACAACATTGTCGACAACATTCAAATATGAGGATCCATTGTGACATTTCACATTATTCTTAGCTTTTACACTTCAAAAACATCTTTTAGGATCTTCCAAAATTCACAGCTAAATTTCCATTTTCTAAAGAACTAATTTCTAGTTAGGTTAAAACTCTTGTAAGGCACTGCAAGGGTATTAATGTCATTCATGTGAATTACAAGGAATCAAAAATGGTAAGATTACATTTCATAAGTTTTTAAGAACTGCAACTTAAAAAATTCAAGATGATTACATTATGAATATGGATGAAGTTCCCACAGTAATCATCACTGACTTCTCTAAGTATGTATATTATAATTCTGTTTCCAATTTTTTCAGTAGAAAGTTGTGAATCTTTAGTCAACATGTAAATCAACACATATTTGTTCAATTTTGTCATACGTTTGATATTTTGCTGGGTGCTGAGGATTCAGTGGTGAGTAGTAACCTCAATTAATGAATCCTAACATGGTATCCTCATGAAACATATTTTCAGGCTCAGTCAATAAATGTATGAGCTCTCATGTTTAGCTGTTGCTGCTGCAGTCTAATAATGTAGCAATACATGGGCAAAGTTGAGTAGTGGTGGAATAACGCATAGAAAGAACTCATATTCTGTTAATGGGGCAGAAAGGCACCCCTGGCTCTGGCATTAGCTTGGCATATGCCTTTGACATTCATTTAAAATGTGAAGAGAAACAACTGAGCTTGAACACCCACCACTGGCTGGTAGATGAAACTGTTATTTTATTTTATTTTTTGTTTGTTTTAACAGAATCAGAGAAATGGTAGGCATGTATGTACTAGTTTGAATTTGAAAGAATTATCTTCCTCAAAGATATTGAATAACTCTGAAAATACATAGAAGTGAATCCAAAACAAAAGAGAGCTTAGAACTAAAGCTGCTTTCTGCTTTTAAAGTATCACTTTATTTTGATATCACATAAACGCTAACAACAATATAGAAATTTAAAAAATATTCTACATCTTAACACATCCTAGGAACCTTATCTTAAAGAGTAGGTGGGAGAGAGAATATAGAAAAGTAATAGGGAAACTGATAGAATCAAACTTTTGATTGAGTTAGGAATGAAATCAGTTAAACGTATGAAGTTTAATCATTGTTCCTGGATTGAGCTACTATTTGATTAACTTGAAAATATTGATCAATTAATTAAATAATCTATTTACAGGGATTGATATGTGCATTTACACTCTTGTGTCCACAGCATACATCTTGGCAGTCTCTGTCTGAGGAGCCACATATGACTTGGCCAAGGAAACACCAGCAGTTGAATAGGCCTTCCTCACGGAATAAGGGTAGTTTCTCTCATGGCCAACATCTATGTGAGAAAGATAAATGCAGAGCTATTAAAGTGATATGACTGAGTAAACTTCAGAAAATTAAAAACGAATTGATTTTATATGTCCTTCTCCAAAAGAGGGGCAAGAATATAGATATTCTATGTAAGAGTCATCCAGCAACCCTAAGAATTCTAGAACAAAATCCAAGTTATAGTTTAAATATAAAAAAATATATTTCAATTTAAAATCAAGCCAAGAAATTTCTTTCTTTTTTCTTCTTATCAGAAGAAGGATTCTCTTAGTATTTCAGTGACTTTTTTAGAAACCCAATATGTCATATTCTAGTCATTAATTACAAATATTGTGCTGGTTCTCAGTTCTCTTCTGTAGTTGGCTCACAATTAAAATTTAATTGATTCAAAATGAAGTTAAATGTTGTTGTTATACACCAAAATAACCATTACATATTTTAATATCGGACACAGTTGTAGCTGTAGATATTCTTTTTCAACTAATATACCATTAACTTTGTAATAAGGTTTGAGTATGACAATTTAGTTGTCCTTGAGCAACTCTCTCTCGCTCTCTCTCTCTCTCTCTCCTCTCTCTCTTTCTTTCTTTTTAGTTCAGGATCTCACTGTGTTGCAATCCTCCTTCGTTAGCCTCTCGAGTAACTTGGCTCACAGATGTGCACCCCCGTGCTTGAGTTAGAGTGGGTAAGGAAACAAACTCAGGCTTCTCATGGGTCCCCAAGACACAAGTATTCAGTGCATGCTACTGCAGCTGGCCCACATCTGGAATTGTAATGGTCGTATGCAGGAATTTAAACAAGCAATCGGTTGACAAGGATGCAAGTGGAGGCAAGGAAGTGTGGTATTTTATCTTTTCTTACCTTTAAAGAGATATAAGCAACAGGTGAGGACAGCTCCGGCCAAAAAACAACCCAGAGATCCAGCCATTCCAAGCCAACAAGACCAACCAAATTTATACTGGATGCCAAGAAATACATTGTGCAAAACCAGAGAAGAACGTTCCACATATACATCGACGGCATACCATACAGAGCCAATGATTCCTGGGGCACCTAAAAGATAGGGAAAAGGGTGAGAATATGTGGTGTTTTCTAAATTTAAATCCAAGGAGATCTGCTTACCACCCAAAATATATGTAATTCAGAGAGACAATAATACAAGGGATTCATGAGGAACCAGATCTTGAATTCCTCTTCATCTCATCCTTTTCCCTTTCACTGCATATCTTCTAAGTCTTACCTTAGTTTGTACATAAAGAAAATACCAAAATAATATAACGCAGTGCTCATGTGCTTGAGGGAACTCAAAGTGACAGTTAAGGTCTTCTTTAATTTTTGTATCTTTCCAATATTAGTCTTACATAAAAGAAAATATTAAATGCAAAGTAAAAACTAGAGAAGGAACACAGACTAACAGAAGCAATAGAGAACAAAAGTTCATTGTAAACAAAAGTTCAATTGCAAGTATAAACCATTGAGAGTCTATATTCTGTTGATCCCAGACCCATGACTGAAGCTGTGTCGGCCACTTAATCAGCACCTGTATAAAAACTGTCTTTAGGGCCCAGCAGGTGGTATGGTGGTTAAGGGAGCTGGACTCCCACATAGCCAACTGCGGTTCGAGTCCCAGACCTGGCGGCTTGCTTTCTTACTTTCCCTCTCTCTCTTCCTCTCTTTCTATCTCTTGCTCTGTCCCTTTCTAGAGAAATTAAAATAAATAAATAAAGTTAAATAAAATAATTCTTTATAAAAACTGTCTTTAAAGTCATTTATCTTACTGTGTTAGGGGTAACAACATCACTGATATAAAAATTATCTTTATTTTCAAATAAATCCTTACTTATGACCCCCCACATCATATAAAAATGAGCCAAGAAATATTATTCACTTTAAACTTTTTTTTTTTTTTGAGAGGTTTTTGCTATAGGGCGTGTGCACTGGCCAGAAAGAAAGAGAGACAGAGAGACAGAAAGTGAGAAATCACCCGCCAGGGGGGATAGCCACGCTGCAATCCCTTCTCCTCCATTTTCTTCTCGGGATCTTGGGCATGCACGCACATGCACCCAGCGTGAGTTTAAGCCACCGGGTCCAGGACTTGAACCGCAGTCAGCTACATGGGAGTTTAGTGACCTAGCCATTATGCTAACTGCTGGTCCCTACTCACTTTAAATTTAATCCTCACAGATTAACCTCTCCAAAAATTGATTGATTTGAAATGCTGCTGAGCTTCTCTTACTTTAAAAGTATGTATTGCATGTCAAGTCCTACCCACAGAAGACAAGATGGTGAGGTTGGGAGATAAGAGGCTATATTAAAAGGATGTTTTTAATATTTATAAACTCAAAAAATACTTCCAAATTTCTTTTCTCTTTGGGAGTCTTTGATATCTAGTAGGCTGTCAAAAAAGTCATGTTGTATTTTTTTCTATGCAAAAATGTGTTAGGACTTTTCCAAAATCCCAATAATTAAGTCACTACTTCATTGCATTATTCTCCCATTGTTCAATGCAAGGTGCTTAAGAAAGACCAGATCATGAATATATAACCTTTAGAAAACAAAGATATAGCACTATTATCTACTCGTATAAATTTTGAAACTTAGAAACACATTATATATACTTTTTTTTTTCTTTTTTTGGAGAGGTTTTTGCTATAGGGTGCGTGCGCTCGCCAGACAGACAGAGAGAGACAGAGAGACAGAAAGCGAGAAATCACCCCCCCAGGGGGGATGGCCATGCTGCGATCCCTTCTCCTCCATTCTCCTCTCAGAATCTTGGGCACGCACGCACACACGCCCGGCATGAGTTTAAGCCACCGGGTCCGGGACTCGAACCAACTACGTTGGGAGTTCAGCGACATAGCCATTACGCTAACTGCTGGTCCCAGAAACACATATATATACTTTTTTTATAATTCATAATATATATATATCATACTAAATCTAAGTGGTAGTCCCAAAGCCTTGGGCATCCTGGCCATTTAATCATTCTTCATTGACACTCTGTCTTCACAAGAATTTTCTTCAGCAACTTGCACTTTCTTTGAGTTTTGTTGATTTTTTTAAAGAGAGTATCTAGTGATACCTCCAACAGTATTATAGGAGAAAATAATGTAGTTTAAAATAATGTTGACATTCGTGAAATAAAACTTGTTATTTATAAAAAGTTTATGCTGCTAGAGGTATGGCAATGAATTTCTCAAAAAAGAATTACTAACTTCTGTGACTTTACAATACAACATGGAAAATATTAGGACCTAGATGCAATGTTTCTGCATGGAAAAAATAAAGGAGGCCCCAGTTCTGAATGTGTAAACAATTAGGCCCTCACTGAAGGGCATCCTCATTTTTCAGTTCACATGGAATTTTCCCAGTAGCAATCCGAGATGGATATTATTGCCCTAGCTTTCCTCCATTTTGCACATTGGGACATGCAGACATAGTGAAGCTATCTAAGTAGTCTCCAAAGTCCCCCTCTATTGTCTGCCCTGCGCTGACTGGCTAGGCTCTCACTTGTATTTGTATGGAATATTTTCGTGCAACTACCATACAAGAAAACTTTTCTCTCTGTGGTGCATTCTCCCAGGTTTATAATCTTCCTGAACTTTGATTTCTTCAACAGCATACCTCCTCCCAGCGTGCATTAAGATCAAAGAAGACATTATGTTGTGATAGAGAAAGATGAAGCTTTGAAGTTGAAGACAGACTGAGTAAAATATCAATTTTGTTTCATTAATAAATACCATGTAAAGCACTGCTTATAGGTTATTAGTCATGTTTGATTTATTAGTCTTCAGAACTCCTTTTCTTTATCTCAAGTGAGGATAGTAATATCATCTGTTGATGATTACATTTATGATCAAATGGGTTGGCTCATGAGATAAATATAACAGAGGAGTTGTCATAATTTATTTCATTGTTAAAAATAATTGATTTGGATGAATACAGGTAAAAAGGTGGCGGTTTAAATGTACCGTAGGGTTTAATTTTAGGGACAATCACAAAAGACATTATTGTAAAACTTTAATGCGTCTTATTACATTTTAAATAGCTTAAAAACCATTTGATAACTTTGGCATACCTTCTGGATGTTATAAAAAGTCTAGTTATCTGAATGTAAAGCTAGAGAAAGTAGGACTGAGAGACAGCTCTTTATTTCACTCAGTCTAAACAAGCAAGCCACATACGGTCTTAGACCGTTTCAGAAGAGCATCCTTCTCCACCTCCGGCCTCCACCGCCTCTCTCATCACCAGCTCTAGTCCAGACCAGTACCTGCTATTAGTAATGTGGTTCCGGCAACAAAGCAGATGCGGACTTTAACGTTCGGCTCTTCGCGGAGGAATTTCACGCAGTCAAGACCAAGGAGCAGAGTGATAAATCCGAACCCAGCAAGAATATCTGCAGTAATCATCAACGCTCGAGTTACCACCAGCTTCACTGGAAGACCAGGGCATGCGGTTATGGCACAGAGGAAGGCAACCTGTTAGCTCACAGAGGCACATGAGGAACACAGACAACTGCATGTCAGTGACAGGGACCCACTGACTGAAGTCACACTTGCATATGAGTTCCCTTGGATATGAGTACCCTTAAGTTTTTCATTACACTGAAAACTATTCCATTATTGGCATTATTATTTGTTTAAGTGTCAGTCTTTATATTGTTGCACCCTATCAGGGAGCATCTTGGTAGACAGGGGAACTAGGCATTGCTTTCCTTTGTTCTTTTTGCTCTGGAAAGTCTTCCACGTATTATAACCTAATGCCAAGGAAGATAGAATACCTGTTCTCTAGAAGCTATCCAGTAACTGTTGGTTGAATAATTGATATAACAGCTTTATGTTTGATGAGAAAAATATTAAATAATTGGTAAAACTTGGCACAAAGAAGCAGGATACATTTCTAAACTTCGATGTTTGGTGAGAAAAATATTAAATAATTGTTAAAACTTTGCACAAAGAAGCAGGATACATTTCTAAACTTCCCTTGCCAGTTCACAACGGTGGGAGCCATCAGCAGATCTCTAAAAGGGGAATTAGTTTCTATTAAGTGGACTATTTTGGAAGCAAGATCATGTCTTTTTTTTTTTTTTTGAGAGGTTTTGCCATAGGGTGCGTGCGCTCGCCAGACAGATAGAGACAGAGAGATAGAAAGCGAGAAATCACCCCCCAGAGGGGATGGCCACACCGCAATCCCTTCTCCTCCATTCTCCTCTTGGGATCTTGGGCACACACACACACATGCGCCCAGCATGAGTTTTAAGCCACCGGGTCCAAGACATGAACTGCGGTCGACTACATGGGAGTTCAGCAACATAGCCATTATGCTACCTGGTGGTCCCCAGACCATGTCTTTTTCTGGCCTTCACATCATGACTCTTCTTGGTCAACATTCCATATTAACTCTTTAACCTTGCATAGATAAATGGGCATATTTTAAAGCTATAGGCAAAAATATATGGTAGAAGTTCCAGAAAAGAGAAGAAAAGGTAAATAAATAGAATAGCAGCAACCACCTTCTGCACTAGAGGCATCTTCAACTGTGAAAACCTGCTAAACACTGCATCACCAATTATACTAAATTAAAAAGAGGGAAATTTATGTCACAAAACAAGATTAATAACCTGAAGTGAGAACTATGACTTTTTTAGTGGGCTGAATAAGATGAATAATAAAACTTATTCCTTATATGATACAATGATTTTTTTAAAAATTTTCATAGTGACTTTGAGTTTTCTTGCATTTAAAAAAGTGATCCCACAGATGAGGTAAAGTTAGGGCTTATTTTGTAATTGTTTGCTTGCTAAAATGCAGTCAATTTTCTTTATTTAAATTTTTTAAAATGTATTTATGGTGCATCTGAGAGAGGAAATCAATGCATTAAATCAGCTTTTACTATATTAATAAATAAACATGTGAATAAACATATATACTATATATTATATATATATATGTATATAGTTTTTCTAAAATAGTGCTTGTAAGAACTCGAAATTGGCTTTTTTTTTTTTTTTGAGAGGTTTTTCTATAGGGCACTTGCACTCACCAGAAAGACAGAGAGAGACAGAGAGACAGAAAGCGAGAAATCACCCCCCAGGAGGGATGGCCATGCCGCAGTCCCTTCTCCTCCATTCTCCTCTCAGGATCTTGGGCACACACGCACACGCGCCTGGTGTGAGTTTAAGCCACCAGGTCCGGGACTTGAAGGGCAGTCAACTACATGAGAGTCCAGTGACATAGCTATTATGCCAACTGCTGGTCCCTTAGTATGATTTAAAAAAAAAAACAAATGTTCCCTATTTAAGGCTTTCAAAATTTAGGAAAGAAAACACATGTAATGTCTAGGTGATATTGCTCTTTTATGCAGAAGTTAAACATGACCTCTTGACAACTGCATAGTGTATATAAATCCACTTCCTGCTCAGCACCCAGATCTAAGGGTTTCTGCACTTTGGAATGCCTCCCTTGAAATTTTCTGGGACTACCCAGGATCAGCAGTACCATCAGGATGTGGTGGCCTGAGCAGACAGACTGCTCATATTGGCTGGTAAGGGAGGGAGTCTGCAGCGGTGCAAGCAGACTGCTCATGTTGGCTTGGTAAGGGAGGGAGTCTGCAGCGGTGCAAGCAGACTGCTCATGTTGGCTGGTAACAATAATGCTAATATGCTGTCTCCTTAATTTTGCTTCTTTCCCCCTCTTTATACAATATAGTACTATCAACAAAGAAGCCTAATTTTGTGAATAGAAATGGAATTCATATGAGCACTCAACCTATTCCAAAGTTTTAGTAGCATAGTCAGAGTTGAGAAGTTTAAATAGTTCTGACTAGATACTGTTAATGTACATTAATGCAAGAAGAAAACAAAATAATCCATAAGGTCACTACCAAGAAAACCACTACCTACATTTTAATATCTTCAATTTTTTTATCTGCTGCCTATGTCATATTTTTAAAAATTTTGTTCTTACCTATTACTTTCAAATAATATACTAAAACTGCAATATTTTTCATTAAAAAAATTTTTAGAGAGATTTTTGCTATAAGGCATGTGTGCTCACTGGAGAGATAGAGAGAAACCGAGAGACAGAAAGCAAGAAATCTCTCCCTAGAGGGGATGGCCAAACTGCAATCTTTTCTCCTCCATTCTTACTCTCCTTTAATAACAGGACCAGTACTTCTTGGTGTGGTTCACTGTTTTATGAATGAATGAATGAATGAAAATGCTGTGGAGAAGGAGTGAGAGAATCAATAAGCTTGTTAGTTTAAAAGATCTCTTTTTACAGAGAAATCTAGACCTTGCTAACACCTAACTATAATGTGAAGCTATAAGTATGGGAGATAAAGGAGCTTGCTTTAATACGGTGCTAACATCTTATGTGTATCAATTGTTTTCATCCACCAATTCCCATACTCTGCAACTCTCTGGCTACTTCTCTTTCTGTCTCTGTCCCTCTTTCTTCACCTCTCTCTTAGCAAACCTTCCACTAAAAAATCTATAATCTTCGTATGTTTTTGAACTAAGTTGTAGTTGAAAGCCAGCCTTTATTCTAGTCTGTCAATTATAGTCATAAATCACAGCATCCTAAAGAATTCATTTTAATTCAAAATATATTTACTATAACGTTATTGCGTTTAAGGCACTATCCCAGGCTTTGGGGGTACCAGAGATGATTAAAATAACATTTCTACCACCATGGAATTTACACATACTTGGAGCAAAAAATGCTGAAAATGTTTCAGAAATAAATCCACTTCCTGATTAGGGGGTGATAGCAGAGACGGAAGTCATGTCTAGGTGGGATCATGACAGAATGAAATATATTCAAATCCGTATTTCAGAAATCAACTCCATTTCTAATTGAAACATTTCCAACTGGACAGACCCTTACTACAGGCTAGAAAACAAAAACACACGATGGAAATCTGAGCTCCGTTTTCTTTGACATTACCATCCTGCCAAACGGGGACATTGGGGCATACGTACAGGGGTGCTCGGCCAGTATAGAGTCGTATTCATCGCAGGTGCGAATCCCGTCAAAAGCATTTGTGACACATTCCCACCAGAGGCCTCGGCATTTTGTGCTCACCTGGATGTTGGAGAAGACAGTGTGAGTCAGCACCTGCAGACATATTTCAGCTCCCCTTGATCAAAGGGAGAATTGGGGCATTGTGTTTGATAGCAGAGTACAGAATTGAAATTCCATTTATAACAAACTATATGTTTTAGGATTTTTTTTTTCCTTAAGCACTTACAATGAAAAGCCTTCCCAACCAAGAAATAAATTCACTTCCTGAGTAGGGGGTAATGGCAGAGATATAAGTCATGTCTAAGAGGAGTAAAGTCAGAAGTAAATGTATTCAAGTGCCTATGGCTGGTTCTATCATCAAGTCATAGTTTAAATGGAGGCGATTCATTTCACTTCCCTTTGCTGACATTTGCTAATCCAAAAAAAAAATCAATATGGTAATAGGAGGCAACTTTTGACATTTTGAGCCTATTAGGAATGTACATTAATTTTTCTTCATCATGAGCACTGAGTTCCATGAAGAAAGGTGTTATTTTATGTGCAGTTCATAAATTTGAAATAATTAGCAAAGAAAGTCAATAAACGAAGACACCAATAAATAAAATATAAAGGCCCCAAGTCTCAGTCCTCATTGCTTCACCGACAGGTTACGGACACTTAAGCTATGATATAATGCTGTGATATAAACAAAATGAGCCCTGCTTTCATACAACTTGACAACCGTAAGCCACTTGTCCTTGGAAACAATGCAGATGTCTTGAAGTGGTCACACAGCGCTGAAAGGTATCCATGCCCTGAACCTTCCCATACGCTACCCGTAACCTGCAACTCAGTGGATGTCTTAGAATTGTAAACCAGTCAGCAGAAAACAGTTTCATGTAGTCTTGACAGAGTTCATGTGTACGGATCAGAGCTAGAATGATTGTGTCCTCTGACTCAATTACAGAGTCCCATTGCAGTGGAAACCGGGGGAGAGTTCAATGAAGTTTAATAATGTATTATCTCAGAAAATGAAAACTTAAAATTTTCCTCAAGAATAACTAACAGAACAGGGTAGATAGAGGAATGAAAAGGAAGTGGGGGTTCAATTGGAGTAGACAAAAGAATAAGGGACAAAAAATCACTTTGCATAGGAAAATCCTATCAAGGAATACATCCCCTACTGTCTGCCCCATGGTTTGTTCGGAAGCCGTGTTTATGCCAAGTAAAACTCTGCTGCTTAAACTCCATCATTGTGAATGTGCCACCGCTCTTATTAATTTATATGGAAAATACTTACAATTAGTAATAATAATCTTTTGTTGACTCTATACTATGAAGTACTTAGAATTTAAGCATATTCTTGCTTTGTTTATTTCTGAAAGGATCTTCTGAGATATATTGTTATCATCCATTTTTCGAATAAGGAAATGAAGGCCCAGAAGAATGAGGTGATAATCTCAAGAAAGTGTAACTCGTAAATAAGGTACTGCTCACTCAGCTGTCTGTGTGCTCTTATGTACTGCCATGTACCTAAAACCTATCTTTAAAATTTGCAAATTTATTTGAGGCTAACGTTCTCCTTAACTGAACATTGGGAGATAGCTTCAGGTGAAGTAAATCCTACCTTAAATCTCATCCCAGGGGCTTTATTCTACAAAATCCCACTTTGGCTCAGGTTTCCTTAGGTTAAATCTGGAAGCAATGTTCCAGACTTTATGGAAGACCTGGGAAAACACAGAGCCCAAACATCTAAGGAAGAAAATCCATCTTGTAAAATCTAACCCACCAATTTCTAAAGAAGAACATGAACTCTAAATTTATCTATGCATGAAAGTTAAATTATAGTCAAAACCAATAGACTTTAAATGTAAACTGGCACTCCTATTAGCTCTGAGATAACCTTGAACATGGTCTTACCTTTTTTTTTTTTTTTTTGAGCCTTACTATCCTTATTTGTGTTAAGAATATAATAATAGAGTGGTTATAAAAAATAAAAATTACAAACATACAGGATTTTCTCAATAATGAAAATAGTAGTAAAGCCTCTAATGGCCTGAGCAGTGGCTGTGTTCAACTTGATTAACTAACATGAAAGTGAAGAGGGGCCGGCAGGGGGCACAGTTGTCCATGTACCACAGTTCAAATCTCAGACCCGGCAGCTTGATAATCATGTTGGGCACGTGTACATGCATGCCCAAAATCTTGAGAGAAAGGAGAAGGGATCGCAGTGTGGCCATCCCTCTGGGGGCTGATTTCTCACTTTTCCTTGCTATGAATCTCCCTTTCTCTCTCCTTTCTGGAGAGTACATGCACTCTGTGTCAAAAACTTCAAAACCTTTTTTTTTTTTTTTTTAATTAAAGAGGAGGAAGTAGGTTTAGCAGGATGAATAATAGAGTTCAAAAAAATATGTTCACGACTCTAATCTCAAGAACTTGTTAATTAGACCTTATTTGGGAAAAAGGCCTTTGTAGATGAAACTCATACAAAATTTGGAGATGAGAAGATCATCTTATTCAGTGGGTCTTAAACTAGTTAGAAGCACTCTTATAAGAGGAACACGAGGGACCAGCAGGTGGTGTGATTGTTAAGGTACTGGATTTCCACATGGCTGACCAGGGTTTGAGACCTGAAAATCATGTGCCCAAAATCCTGAAAGGAGGAGGAGGACAAAGGATTGCAGCATGGTCATTTTCCTGGTAAGGGTGATTTTTCACTTTCCCTCTCTCTGTCTCTCTCCTGTGAATGCACACTACCTATGGCAAAAACCTAGAACAAAAACAAAAACAAAAAAGGCATATAGAAGACAGGCAGAGACAGAAGAAGAGAAGGCAGTGTGAAGACCCCAGAGGCAGAGGTTGGAGTGATGCAGCCCTTAGTCACAGAATGCCGACAGCTACCAGAAGCTGGAAGAGCCCAGGACTTCACTGTCCCCCAGAGAACTTAGAGGTAGTACAGCCTTACCAACACTTGATTTAAAGCTTCTGGCATCTAGAACTGTAAGAGAATTAATTTATCTTGTGTTAAGCCGCGCTGGTTAAAGTCACTTGTCACAGCAGTTGTAGGAAACTCACAGGAAGACAGTTTGTACTGAACCACGATACCACAGCAACAAAGAGGTCTTCTCAAAGCCTATGACCCTTCAGTTTCTTAATTAATGGGAACACACTAGACCCAGCTTATTCTAAGTTGAGCTAGGTGATGTGGGGTTGAAGCCACTGCTCTATAATCAGACAGTGACTGTTCACAATGTCCTGCCATCTAAGTCAGGAAAAAAGCAAGCTAACAAAAAATAATCTACTTTAGTCGTTTCTGTTCTATATTACATTAAGTCTGAGATACATACGCAAAATTCTTATTTTATACTAATTAGAGTAATTCTGTCTTGCCAAAATGCTATAGTAATCATGTCAATTTCAAGGCTATTGATCATTTACCTGCAATGACCATATTTAGAAAACCAATGAGCTCATTAGAGGAAACAAGGAATCCAATTTCATTAGGTATTAACGCTCAGGGGCACATGGTTAGGTGGCTTGGTATTCAGACTGAGTTAAGGTACGTGAGAATAGTGGCTGCAATTAACTCAACTTTTGTGTTAATGTAGCACTTACTGGAGACACCCTTAAAGGTGCCTTTGTGCATAAAATACAAGGTGAAAAGCATTTTTGTTATTTATCATATTTAGGAAAACTCTGCTTGTTGTAATATATATAGTCTGTATTTGTCTCTGTGTAATAAAACGGCTTACTGGAAACTCTCTGAAAGGCAAGCAAATCTAATGTATTTGAAGTTTTAAAATAAGCTTCTTATATAAGCAGACCAGTGCTTAAACTATTATAATTAGCTTTTCTTTCTTTCATTTTTTTAAAGAGAGACTTTTGCTATAGAGCACATGCACTGACTGGGGAGACAGAGAGAAACAGAGAGCCAGAAAGCAAGAAATGGTCCCCCAGGGGGATGATCACTCCACCATCCCTTCTCCTCCATTCTCCTCTCAGGACATTGGGCACACACGTACATGCTCCCAGCGTGAGTTTAAGTCGCCGGATCCAGGATTCAAACTATGGGTCAACTACGTGGGAGTCCAGTGATGTAACCATTATGTCATCTGCTGGTACCCACTGTTCTTAAAAGGAATTGTTAACTAATCATTTTTTAATTTTAATAATTTTTATAACAGGGTCATTCAAAAGTTATGATTTCAAATTTAAGCTTTCTCCTTTTAACACGAAATTTATTTATTAACGAATGACAGACAGAAAAAAACACTAGACTAATTTGCATATTATTTCAATGAATAACTATTCTTCCTGAAAGTGAGTAGTAGATTATCGCCTACATGGGGAGAAAGTAGTTTACCCAAGGTATACCAGTAAAGTATAAGCCACAAACATGAGGTTAGCACAAATCTCATAACTAGTTGCCAGTAGTTAAAATATAGAACTTTACTGAACAGACCAGGTTTCTGGATCCCCTTGAAAATTTGATTAGTCCGGCCACTGGACACCTTGGTCCTACAAATGAACAATTAGCAAGAGAGGAATGACTACTCACTGACCATTAGGTGGGACTTGAGCTTGCTAGGTTCTCCACAGTTCCTGGACATTCTACCTTGGTCATGGGTGTTCACTTCCTAAGGCATCTGAATTTTCCCCTCTTGTCAAATACTAATGAGTAATCTCAAGTTTTTGGTCACATAAGACTTTCTGATTCCTATTAACAATTTAAAATCTGATAATGACCAGAACAGTTATTGGAAGAAAAATACCACATAATATATTTGCTTTGAACTTCAAAAATAATCATGATAATAATTCCCCTTCTTCTCAACCTTTCACACTCTATCTACTCTTCAAATCTCACCTTAAAGATATACATGAGGTCTCCCCCAAGTCTCTCCACCTGGAGAGTTAACCTCTCCTTACCCTGAGATTCTAAAGTAATTTGCCATACTTTTTATTTTATAATATTGTATTATCTTTTGAATGCAGTTTTTGTGTGTTCCCTTTTTTCTTTCTTTCTCTGTCTCTCTCCCTCTTTCTCTTCTCCTGTCTTCCTTATATCCCAGAGGGCATGT